TCCAAGCTCGTAAGGATAAGCAAACCGAGCCCTGCACCATCGCTCCTGCCAATCTCGTCTCACCGAATCTGGGCTCTAATATCAATTGATGGGCGCAACCAGCCTAACGATACTCTTCACATAATATGATATTATCCGTTTTTGGCCAAACCCGCATAATTTTTTTCAAAAGGTCTCACACCATTAAAAAATATTTACACCTTATATTTAGGCTCCTTATATTGTCAGCTGCTAAGTGGGATTTCATTGGCATTGTTGAGTCGGACGAGTTTGCATGTTCAGATCATAATCGTGGAGAGTACATTATAAAGTAGTACTCCCTCCGTTTCAATTTATGTGAACTCATTTGATTGGGCACGGAGTTTAAGAAAAGAGAGAAGACTTTTAATCTTGTGGTGTAAAATGAGGCACATATATTTTGTATGACAATAAATCATTGTGTAAAGGTAAATTGTTTCTAAATAAGAAAAGTGGTCATTCTTTTTGGCACGAATTAAAAAGGAAATAGGTTCACATAAATTAAAACGGAGTGAGTAATAAAAGTTCACTTTATTTTTTATTCTCGAAAGTAAAAAGTGACAAACATATTGAGTCAGATGGGTTAAAATATAATATAATGTACATTTTTTGAAGGTGGGAAATTACTTTCAAAAAGCATATTCCCCTAGGAGTTGCTTGCTAGTCCTCTAGATTCCTATATATTATTCTTGCCTTCAAAAAAATGAAGTCATATTAAAAGGGGTGTCTTCCTTTTAATTTACTTTCTATCCATTTTAAAACAAAATTTGAGATGCAAATTTGATAATATTAAGTATTCCATATTGGTTATACTTTTATATTCTCTTTAGATTCCCATAGCCATTGGTCAAATTGGGATGGAAAAGAAGTTCCCATTCAGTAACCTTTTTGTTAAAAGAAGAATTCAATGTTCCTCTTGTATATATGCTAATAATGCTAATCTAAGATTTTGTGAATCAAATGCATGGGCCATTTTAAAAAGAATTCATATTAATATAAAAATGGTTGGCAAAAGATGGAGCTGGAATTGTTTGATGATCTCATGATGTTTTTCTATACAAACAAAAAAAGGACAAAAATTGTGTTTGGTATGATCTAACTAAAGAAAACCAACAAATGTACTTGGTTCGTATACCAATTTCACATTAATTAAAGTTATGCACCACTTTTATATTTTCTATTTGGAATTTCTTGATTATCTATCTGCTGTTCCAACTGCAGCTTAACTGCTCATGAACAGCACCAGACATATATAAATTTATTCATTTTAGAATTAGTTGCTTGTGCATATGAGCAACAAATATAAGAAAAATAGCTTATTCTTATCTCAAAAAATAATTTAAGCTTTAGCTGTTGCTTTCTAGTTCCTACTTATCATCTCTAGCAAGGACAATGATCATTTTCCCGTAATATTTACGGTCACATTTAGTGGTGACAAAATAGTTAAAAGAAAATAATTATTCATTCATATTCATTGAAAAATGGGTTGGATAATGATTTGTTTTTTTAAAAACGGGTCAAATATAAATAAAAATCGTATTATCCCCTGAGAAAATAGATAACCAATAAATTTAACTTTTACATTTGTAAAGCCTCGAAATTGGAGTTCCTAAAGTTTGGTAGATTAGGAATTCTTCCAAAAGTGATCATATTCAAGAAGTCATGGATAATATTGATATTCATATTATCTGCTGATTAATCCGTTTATTATCCATATTAAATATGGGTCGGATCGAATAATTTATCCATTTTTACATTATTATTTTTTGACTCACTCATATCTTACCTGACCCACCTGTTTGCCACCATCAGTCACATCTGAAGCAAATCTAACTGCTGCATTCAAGAAAAGGAAAGTGTTTGAATATATGTGTGAATAAATTATTAAACCATTGTAGCTTTGCCTAATTGGGTGATTGCTTGATCATGTTTTTTAATCTTAAAAAAGAGAAATATTAGTCATCATTGCTTACTGGTAAGAAATAGAACAAATGAGTAGTTGCAGCAATACAGGCCTAGCTGTCGTTAATACATTGGTTGATTTGAGCGTGAGGGACCAACATAGTAAAACTAACAAATAGTGAAAAGGGGTGATGCTATTAATTTTTTTGTTTAACTATATGGTATTTGAAACTTACTTGCGGACTAATTTCCAATTCGTGTTGGATATCACTAAGAAGTAGGACTCAAATCTGAGACCACCTATTTAAGTGTGGAGAAATTCCCAACCATCTCACCATAAGACCTGATAAAAATGATAATGTTATTAGTTAATTGAAACTATGGCCAAGTAACAATGATTATGTAATGGCCCCTTAGAATATTGATTTGTTACACCCTCAAGTGAGTAGGGACTGGAAAATTTACCCAAGAAGAGAAGGCATTATTAAAGAAGTAAATGATGATGATTCGAGGGGTCCTAATTGATTAGCCATAAGTGTGGGGGATTATATTTTCTTGTTTGTTGGGGGTGGGGGTGGAGGGG